AGAAATTTGGTGCAGATAAAGCAGTTTTCCATATATGGTGGAGAAACGTCAAAAAGCAATGTAGGTTGCATTCATCCACTTCGCTGAAACTTATATGCATGACTACAATAGGGACACCGTCATAATTGTGAAAATCCAGCCAAGGGCCATAACTCCACTTACATTGATAGCTTGGCTCGAAGCCATGTCAATAAAATGCTAGATTTAGGTACTGGTAGATTGCAACCAGTCATTTTAATATAGATAACTGCATTAGTTGAGCAAGGTGCAGTTACATGCAAAAATATCAGTTTGAAAACATAAGGTGAGGCTTTATGATGTAAAGAATTGTCTCCCTTCATATAATTTTGTACCCGCTGACATTTCATCAATATTTATGTAACAAACAAGGTGTAAGGTCATGTACTGCTCTTGTATTGAAAAGTGAGTGCATGTGTGTGTTAGTACAAGTGTAGACCTCTGCTGGTTCTGTAGTGCAAGCCTTCTGAGATACCATGGAACAGTTAAAACAAGTTTCTTTCAAACACTTAATACTGACTCCAAGCTAACCAGTACTTATTTGATTCCCTTAAAGACCATCCTTTACTATTTTTAGGCAAAACAGCCTAGGTATTGAACACCAACCTCTTGCTCTCAAGGCAGATGTCCGTCCATTCCACCAAGGAGGTGGTCTGTATTAAATGAAGGTCACACATTATGCTACATGTCCTGTACTCCCAAAGATGATTTGAGCAAGAAATTTGGTGCAGATAAAGCAGTTTTAACCAAAGATTAACGATTATCAATAGTCACATATATTGTTGCAATAACAGTCAACGAAAATGGAACTGGTGGCTAAGGCCTGTGACTTGATCAACTCCTTGGCATCCTGCAAATAAATCTTGGCATGTCACCCATCAAAATCTGTGTTAGAATTGGTCTCCAGCAACTCATGCTTTGTTTTAAGCCAAAACTAACAGGATCAGGTGGTCACCTGGTTGATGCATGACATAGTAACTGACTGACTGACTGAGTATGGTTTTACGCCGCCTTTAGCAATCTTCCAGCAATATCACGGCGGGGGACACCAGAAATGGGCTTCACACATTGTACCCATGTAGGGATTCGAACCCGGGCCTTCGGCATGACGAGCGAACGCTTTAACCACTAGGCTACCCCACCGCCCGACATAGTAACTAATTGTAAAGATTGATGTTCATGAAGTCAGTCACTGGATTGTCTGGTAAGGACTTCGGTTGTAAGAAACAGCCATCACACAGCCGGAATGTTGCTTATTGCAGTAAACATAGGAATCCAACAAAACATGGACACTCATGAGAGAGTGAGATGTCCTTGCTATCAGATGTTCTCATGGTTCAGCCTCATTACAACAACATAGGAACATGACTTTGATTTTATTCAGGTGTGAAAACAAACTTTGAAACATTCACATATAAAACACAAGCGTAACATAAAATACTGAACTGCCCTACATTTACAGTGGACATAACTTAGAAGTATTATATTCATATTCAATGATTTTCAAATGCATTTGTCAGTTACTTTTAGGAAGACTACAAAAACAGCATAACATCTCAAAGATGTTTCAATATTGCGAAATAGAATAAAAAATAAATAGAGGCATCCAGCTAAAGCATACAAAATACATGACTCGCAATAAAATCACCAGGATAATATTCAACATTACAAAAGCACAGTTACAGATTTTATGTGCGCTTCATTTTCGTTTCAACATTTGATCATCTACTTGAGGTTGCAAGATTGCTCTCCCTTGCACAACAACCCGGCTGAGAATAATGTCAATTTCTGTTCTTATTTGGTAAAAGCTATCTTTGATGGAACTATGTAAAACATGTTTACCTGAATAGTGAATACAGCATCATCATAAAATGTGATATCCTTTCTTCCAGAGCACCTTGGTAACTACTCAAAATTAATCATTGATGGAATTTCTCTATGTACCCTCAAGAACACGTACAACTTTTTTTAACATCAACACAAATGCACCTCTCCCATAATATGGATCATGAACCATTCTAATTTCAACAAAACCAAAACTCTTATATTTAGCATTATACCAACTGAAACTGACTTCTATCGGAAATATCTTTGGCTGAGAAAAAGCTCCCAGATCACACTACAATGAAACTGAAAGCTTTGCGAACCATTGTAATGTCATCAGTTAGTGTTGTAGCACTGACGTGACATCCCCAACCTCTCCACCACTGAGTGAGTGAGTGAGTATGGCTTTAAGGCGCTTTTAGCAATATTCCAACAATATCATGGTAGGGGACACCAGAAACGGGCTTCACACATTGTACCCATGCAGGGAATCGGAACCGGGTCCTCGGCGTGACAAGCAAACGCTTTAACCACTAGGCTACCCCACCGTCCCACTGTTTAATAGAAATACTGATTCATGTTGCATAAAACTCCCCCTCTCCACCACTGCAGCTGGTTACATGTACTTCAAAAAACCATGGAAAAGGTGGCAAAACTGAATTTGGATGATAACATAACTTAAGTCTGTGTGTTTTGGTGAAGAAAACAACAGCATACCTCAAAAAAAAGTTTAAAACCCTTTTACAAATCTTTAAAAGGTTTAAACTTTTATTGATTTGTGTGAACACATATTTGACATCAAAAGACACTCTGATGAGATTCTGAACATATATCGGTATTTGATGGAAACCGTGTTAAAGAATTACACACAAGGATCCGTTAACAGGACTTAAAAAAAAAAGAGTAACATCCACTAGCTAGCATAATCATGTCAACATGACAATTATCAAACAATAGTTATCATTGTTAATAATTCTGAAAAAAATACCTCTACTACTTCATTGCTCAAATAATGTGTGTTGGCTGCAATCAGACCTAACTAATCTTCATAAGTTTCAACAAAAGTCCTCTTCATTGTCAAATAGAAGGATTTGTCAACTACACAAATTGGTCCTGCCGCAAATATGACTTTTCTCTCTTCCTACTTATTTCATAGCCATTCGCCTTGACCTTCAGTGACGATCAGACATAACCCAGATGTAATCCAAAGTGATATATCAGAATTGTTATATGACAACTAGTTAGGTTATGAGTTCATGTAGAAAAAACAAAACAAAATGTTATGGCAACCCAATATTTAACATGATTTAAACTAACACAATAAAAACTATTTTTCATATACATCTTTGTATACATGAAGATTAAAGATTTATATACCCCTTATATAAAATAAAATAGAGAATATAATGGCACATGAGTTGTGACTAGTTCATTAGAATCTAAATATTGGAAGAAAAGTCACCAATATTTTGTATTCTGCAAAGGACATGTTGCCTCTGTATTTATATCAAGAAATAACAGTTATTACAATTGTTATCAAAATGTTCACCACAGATTATTCAAGTGGAAGCATAAAGACAAACCACAATGCTATTGTCATTGACGCTTTGCCCATAAATAACAATCAGTTTACAAACACTGTCAAAAATATTTTTACAAAATAAAGTACATCACCGGTAAAATCTCGATTGTGCTGAAGAGCAGCAATACATTTACATCCTAAAATCAAGCAAATGCACGTTTGCTTTTTATAAATCTCAAGAAATAAACCCAAAGACCTGACACAAATAAATATATTGTTGTACACCTTGAAAGATTAGAGAGAAGGATGAATCACAACTATTTCTATGAAAATGCTGGAGCACAAACTGACCCAGGATGAAGTACTATTAGCATCACTATTTGTTCACTTGCATGGAACTGGGTGTATAGGGTGGTCAGTTCCAGAGAAGCACAAGTCATATGGGTTATGAAGAGACCTTAACATTACTTGATGGTAGGGTTTCACAAAATTAAAGTACACAGTTCTTCTATTCCATAAGTCACACATTCTATTATTTCTTAATCTAATGACAAAAAGCAGCACTACTTGAACTGTTATCAGCTATAAGTATTCAAGTGTACTTGTGAATGAGTGAGTGAGTGAGTGAGTGAGTATCGATCAGGGTCAGATGACACACATAACGTCAGAGGCCTGACCAACATCCTGTTAGTCGCCTCGCATGGGCATACATGCATGCATAACGAGTGAGTGAGTACGATTTTACGCTACTTTTAGCAATATTCCAGCAATATCATGGCGGGGGCTACCAGAAATGGGCTTCAGACATTGTACCCATTGGAAGAATTGAACCCGGGTCTTCGGCGTAATGAGCTAACGCTTTAACCACTAGGCTACCTCACCACCCCTCTAATGGATGAACTACTGCATAGAAAATCAAGTACTGGCAATGTGTATCTATTTTGTGATTCATTTTTCCATGATTTTCAAATGTTACGATATTTTTTATCCAGCCTCATGTAAGAATGTCGAAGTTTTGATTGGTTCATCACGTGACTCTGATAACATACCATGTACACCCGTCCACGATCCAGCGAGCAGGAAGTACAAAAGTCATATTATCCCACCACGCGGTGACCACTAATGAGAAAGCGTGCATTGCCAAAGCCTTTAGAAACGTGTGTGTGCATTGAGGTCAATCAATCAACTGTTGTCAACATGGCAGCAAAGAAACGTTTTGCCACAACAACTGAGAATTTTCTTTTTCTTTCTTTTCATAGAAAAAACATTGCTAGATAATACGTTATCACATCGTGTCGAGGGAAATACAGGGTTTTATCAGTCACATAGCAGTTAAAACTCCAACCCTCGGCCTGTTTATATCTAATGAGGGAGAGTAGAATAAAAACATATAGTGACAGTAGAATAGGACAGTGTATATATGGTGTATCTAATACTGTATTAATGAACCTAAATGTTTATCACCAGCATGGTATCACATCACTCATATACACTGAGTTGTTTCAATTCTCTACATCCTGATGATAACAGCAGTTTTTCTAGACTTTCTCATAATCAAACGTCCTTCACATGCATCATTCAACATTATTTAGAGACTTTTTACTAAACCAAACAAGATAGCTGTTTCATGCTTCTGGATCATTATGAAGTGAGAGGAGTGAGTTTAGTTTTATCTCAGTAGATTTAGCAATATTCCAGCAATATCATGGCGGGGATACCAGAAATGGGCTTCAGACATTGTACCCATTGGAAGAATTGAACCCGGGTCTTCGGCGTAATGAGCTAACGCTTTAACCACTAGGCTACCTCACCACCCCTCTAATGGATGAACTACTGCATAGAAAATCAAGTACTGGCAATGTGAATCTATTTTATGCTTTTTCCATGATTTTCAAATGTTACAATATTTTATAATCACTTCATTTATAAAATGGGTACCCGGTGGGATAAGTCATGTCACTATTAACCTTCTAGCACCTTACAGGCAGCTTGGGTTATCCGGGATAATAATAATCCTGCACTATGAGCATGCTGTCGGTGTGGATTTAGCGCAATATTAATGGACTAATTATTTTACTAATTATTATTATTATTAATTATAATAATTTTGTAAACCCTACCATGATAGCCACATAGAAGTTAAAACTCCAACCCTCGGCCTGTTTATATCTAATGAGGGAGAGTAGAATAAAAACATATAGTGACAGTAGAATAGGACCGTGTATATATGGTGTATCTAATACTGTATTAATGAATCTAAATGTTTATCACCAGCATGGTATCACATCACTCATATACACTGAGTTGTTTCATTTCTCTACATCCTGATGATAACAGCAGTTATTCTATACTTTCTCATAATCAAAGAAAGTCCTTCACATGCATCATTCAACATTATTTAGAGACTTTTCTACTAAACCAAACAAGATAGCTGTTTCATGCTTCTGGATCATTATGAAGTGAGTGAGTGAGTGAGTTTAGTTTTACTCCGCATTTAGCAATATTCCAGCAATATCACGGCAGGGGACACCAGAAATGGACTTCACACATTGTACCCATGTGGCGAATCGAACCAGGGTCTTCGGCGTGACGAACGAACAAACGCTTTAACCACCAGGCTACCCCACCGCCCCAGATCATTCTGAAGATTTGTTTAAAGGCAGAAATTATATTGAAACAAGAACAGGGCTCCACTCCACAATTGGCTTAGATGATCATGATGACTACACCTTAGCATCAGTTTAAGATAGTCTAAGTACTTAGTTCAGTATGTGGAAGTAAGAAGACCCCAGTCTACTAAGCAAATATAGCACTAATATGATCAGTGCTACTCAGACACTGAATCGGGATGAGTGAGTGAGTGAGTTAGTGAGTATGGCTTTACACCGCTTTTAGCAATATTCCAGCAATATCACAGCGGGGAAGACCAGAAACAGGCTTCATGCATTGTACCTATGTGGGGAATCGAACCCGGGTCTTCGGCATGGCGAGCAAATTCTGACTCAGGATGAAGGGTAACTTCATCAAACAGGGCCTGATTTGTACAACGCTAGAGTACAAGGTTATTGCTGGGGCAGGAATAACAGAATGACATGATGTGCAAGTTGATTTTGATTTGAGTACTTAGTGCCACTCAAACAAGTTGATTTGAGTACTTGTTGGATGTTTACACTGATAACGTAGAAACATGAATAGGTAATCAAGGTGACATAAACACTAGAATGCTGACAAAACCATTACAATGCTGACGGTAAACATAATCTGTCTTTGGTTCTCCGATATTTACATGTTTCCACTACAACCAATAACAATGAAAATACTCAAGTGCCCAACTAAACAGTCTCTCACACACAGGGTTTACTATGTTTGTGTTTGATGACTATCAGTTCTCTGTAAACTGAATGGACTAGCATCATCAACGGTCAGTGTACTAACACAAACAGCACAGCAACCGAAAACAGCAAACTGAAGCTACTGAATGTCCAAAAGGTATGTCTTCAGCAGCCTTGGGACAGGCAGCTCATCCACTTTGACAGCTAACTGCCTATCCAATGCTTTGTATATCTGAACTCTCGCAATCTGCTTCAGACTCCGAGGATTTTCTGACAACTGGTTGAGGAGACTCAAAAAGTCACGGCCATTGACATCTACTGGGTGGTACCTGGCCATGGTCTTGGCAGCATTGAGGCACTCATAGAGGATGGCATGTTCCATGGTGTTGTAGAAGAGGAGCAGCAGCTCCTGGGCCCGACCATCAGTAAACATGGACTCTCTCTCCTTCACTTCATGAATGTAGTGGTTCACTGGCTGTGTCCCTTGCTTCTTTAAAAAGATTGAGCTTTGCGAGTGACAGATAATTGGCTCGGAGGGATACGGTTCGATGTCTGGGTTGGCCCCCCACTGGAAAAGTGTCTTCAGCCACATATGAATCACACAGAAATCTTTGGTTGTCTTAGCCAACATTGTTAATCTCACAAATTCAATAAGAGCATTTCCACTACCTCCCTTGGGATAAGGGCATGTCCTTGAGCTCTTATGATTTGCATTTAAACCATACTTCAAGAGAAGACACAAAACCCGGTCCGCAAGTTTGGCATACAGAAATTTTGTAGGCCCATGTTCGTTTACTTTGTCATCCAACTGTGTGGTATCGTACTGAGCGTCATCCTCGAGACTAAAGTACTTCTGGCACACCATGGCTATCAACGTTGCACATGTACCCTGGTTCCCTGCAACAAAGTTCAGCTGTGCACCATTCACAAGTAGCACCTCAAATGCCCCAATAACATCATCTGCTTGAGCTATGAGTTCCTCAACAGAATCACAAAGGAGACAGTTCAAAAGCAGCACAAGAGGACTATGACCAAACTGACACTGAAAGTTAGGATTTGCATTGTGCTGGAACAGTATTTTCATGGCTTGGCCCAGAGACCAGTAGTTGTTCCTGTAGTCTTTGATTAAGTAGGTAAATATGGATGTCTGAACACAAGGACATGGGTTGTCAGGGTTACAGGATTTCAGGGCAATGTGGAGCATCCTGCTCAGCGCGCCTGAAGACCATACCCATTTAACATTGCTGGATCTGCATTAAAGGAGAGAAGGGTCTTCAAACTGTTCACAACCTGCTGCTGATAGTTCTCCTGCAAGAAGCTTCTGGGCACTTTCCTTAGACTTTGTTTCACATAATTCCCTCCAGTGTAGGAGATGTGGGAGACTAGCATGTGGAGGGCTGTCTCGCCAAGTGTTGTCAAAGCATTGATGTCCTGTTCAATTCCAGTGGTAAGAAGATATTTTGTTGTATCATGGATTGAAAACAGACCATCAATGTTCATCCTGTACAGTCTGTGCAATGCTGTTTCTTGAATCTTTTTTTGACACCAGATGCAAGTCTGCTCCACTGTCCACAAGTATCTTCACACACTCTCTACCCCAGGGAACAGCTGTCAGCAATGGGGTGTCTCCGTCACCATTGTACTCATTAATGCACTGTGGGTAATGCTTCAAGAAGTAAGAAATACAACCAGCTGCCCCTTCTTTGCAAGCAAAGTGCATCATATTCACTGGGGAAACTGAAGCAGCCTTTGACTTACCTTTGACAAAATTTAACATAAGGTCCAAGCATTCAACATGATTTTGACTAATGGCACACTCAATAGCACTATGCTTGTTTCTCTGGCAGTTGTAAATTGGCACTTGTGTAAAGCCAAACAAAAAGTTCTGATGTCCAGTTGGCTGATGGGAATCAGGATAGCACATCCCAACAACATCTGCAGGAGCTTCTCCTGACTTCAGCAGTATTTCAATGATACTTATGTGTCCCAAGAAAGCTGCTATGTGTAACGGTGGACTACAAGAGTACCGGTTGGGACAGTGCTGCTTCCAAAGTAGCAGCATCACCAAGCCCTTGAGACGCTTGATCACAGCATGCTGCAGGATGTCAAATCCATCAACAGGATCAACCACACACAGAAGATCCTCATCTTCAGGCAGTGACTCTATCAGACTATGGACCTGTTTCAAAGTCCTTGAGTCTGCACTGTTTATCAGGAGATCCAAGGCTTGGTAGATCTTTCCTGTTGTATCCTGCGACGGCTTCTTAAGATTCTGGCCATATATGAGACTGAGAGGCCAGGCTCCCTTGAAATACTGACACAGAGAGTAGACATAGCTGTATGTGACATCCATGAAGGTCCCCATGCTCAACTCCTGACAACGCTACCAATCACTTGCAGGTACATCTGGAAAAAAAAAAAAATAAAACTTATTGAAAAACACAGCAAAAAATGATCAAAATAACAAAATAAAACAAGGATCTGTGTATTTCAGTCAACATGTGACTACTGAAAAATCTCACATCGTTTTAAGAGCATAAGATACACATTTTTACATTCATATTTTTTAATCGCATTTACACAGTGTTTCTCACCTGCTTCAAATAATGTGTGCACATTGTCAATTGAAAATGCATTTCTAACCAACGTCAACCATAACAATACCATGTATATACACCATACCTAGATACAAGCAGCTTTACAGTTCATCACTGGGTACATTTTCATTCCATGAAATATAGCTTACATTACTGTCCCCAGTTGATGTACAGATCATGTGTACAGAATATATTAACACACATTACTAGTAACCCTCCTGGATATACATTTTGATGTTTGACCCATATAGGATGTTTCATATTTCCATATCCTTACGATAACAGACGTTGCATCTAATACACAGGTGGTGGTGATGACTCTCCGCTAATAGGTGATGATTCTCTACGACTGAGTGATGATTAGCCATAGCTAGGTGATGATTCTGCATTATGCGATATACTTAAAATTTGATTTCAGCATAAACATTCATACAGCATTCCTTCTAACAACCATGAGAGATGTGTCAACATACAAGGACATGAGGTAGACCAGAACGCATACTTTGCAGGCGTCATTACGTTTCCGCCAGATGTGGTGGGTCAGATAGTCTGTCATAGAGACTCTGAAACAAATATATCCAAGAAAGCCCATGCAAGTCTAGAACGTGTAGATTTCCACAGTTTCCGAACATGAAGACTCTGCTCTTTTTCATTATATTTTATGATTATTTTTTATGAAGTTTTTTTTCTGTAAAATATGTTTATTTCCGACACCAGATGTTGGTGTATGTGTGAGACAGTTATTAGCCTTCAGCATGCTCAGGCCACTTCACACTACAGATCATTTCCTTGCCACTAACTACACATTACAAATGACAACTTGATCCACAGATGAGTCATTTTACACAATGTTCAACACAACTAGAATGTATATGTTACTGGTTGCATAGACTGACTGAAATAAATTATAAAATGTCTGCTTTTTCTATATGAAGTGAGATGGCGTGTTTTGCTTGAATATATGCACATCTTAAACTACTAATGATGAAGCTTGTGATCAGCAAAAACTACAGTAAACTTGGGCTTCCACGTGTACTCGAGGACGAGTCAGGTTTAGCTGGACTCGAGTCCATTTTCAAGGACCTGAGGACTCGAAAAGGGGAGATAACTCGAATTATTGACGTTGACAGACTGCCTGCCATGTGCTAAGCATGAGCGGCCGTTAACGTCTAATATTATCATAAGATATAACTTTATTATCCCGGGAGGAAATTCTTATACATCCAACTGTCTCAATATGAATATGTACACAGTTCACAAAAATATACACAATAATTACATGCTAAAAACGAATGCTATTTACACAATAAAACTGACATGATATAATTCAAGTAACCACATAGGTAAAGAGGCTGAATAATTCTAGTTGTAATCACGTGATGGTGATTCAAAATATTTGTTGCATTCACGAATACTTGATGGTATGAAAGACTGTCGAACTCTGTTTTGAGGGAAGGTAATCGACAGCAGCGTCCAGAAGGAAGTAGTTCAAAATGGTGAGATCAAATATGTCAACTATCAAATCTAATTTTAGTTGCCTTTGTGACAATCTGGCGCTCATAGATAAAGGGAATATACTTGAAAGACACCCCAGAAATTTTGCAAGCAGTATTAACAATTTTGAAAAGCTTGTTTTTGTTGCAATGAGACAGACCCCCATACCAACATAGAAAATTGTAGGTCAACACACTTTGAATAAAGGTTTGATAAAAAACTGTCATTACGGTTTTGTCAATGCCTTGACGATAATAATGTTCAGAATCAGAAATTAGGCCAGTAACAGTGGCGTCACCTGCGAATTTCACAGTAAACACGTCATATATTGACAAGTAACAGTCATTGGTATACAAAATGAAGAGTACGGATGAAGGAACACAGCCATTTGGTTCTGCAGTAGAGGTTGAGAGAAAAAGATTGATCGCCGTTGACACTGACATACTGAGTTCTATGTACCCTGAATTCTTTAACCCATCTGATAATGTTTTTATCAACACCTAGATTAAATAGTTTACTCCTCACAAGGTGTGGCTGTATGGTATTAGTTGTTACAAGTCTGCAGATGAGAGTAAATATTATACATCCTTTGAAATTTCACTTCTTAAAATGATAAGGTAACTATCTTGACAATTGATAGACATGGAGAAAGATAAAAAAATCAAATGGATGGGCGTATCTTGATCTGGATAGAGAAAAGAGAAAAAATAACCAAACGCCGCCTGTGCGGTATATCACTGCGTTTTGCAGGCAGTACAAGAAGTACGATGAAAAAAACATTTGTCAAGTAAACATCCAAATACTGATTCTGACCAATGGGAAATGTTAGTCACATAACGATATAAAGTCGGAATGAAGTAAGTGTTCACTTGTGTGATCGGAACACATGTCATGCAAGTTACGCTATTGTTTGCTTGAAAGGTATAAATTTCGAGTACTCGGGTCCAAGAAAATGGACTCGTTGAAGCCCTACAGTAAACTACAGCTACAACAATGTTAATGGGACCACTAATTTTAGTTTGTTATCCGTGTGTTCATTACAAATATGGTTTACTGTACTAGAAATTCTTCAAGGAAAATAAAACAAGATCTTTGAAAATTATACCATTCATTCTAGTGGCACCACAGATTATATTCAGGAGGGAGCTTATTTCAGCACTTTGACTCACAGAATATTTGAACAAACACCACTCAGAGAAGGCGTTCAACAGCTGCAGTTCAACAAATACAACAAAGTGATAGAAATATTAGAAATGTTTGTGCCAAGTAATAATGAATCATTCTTAACACAAGAGAAGACAAATTCCTAAAAAGTCCAATTCAAATATATGAAATGACAAAATATATAATACAACAATCCACACAAGCAATATTATTCTGCCAGCTGTATATACATTACTTACTGATGACTGAAACTGAAAACTTCCTTAACACTGGCCACAGCCCAGCAACTGCTATAAGATTCAACCTGTGTTGCCTCAACACTGCTCACCTCCCCCTTCAACTCCACACACAGTGGAGAACAGTCACACACTGTATGAACAGATATCAGGCCGAGGTGATAACTCCTGTATCTGACTACATGCAACCTGGCAGATACTGACCTCGCAGCCCACCAGGAGTTATGTCACTGCCACAGATAGCCTTCGTTGGATTAGGGACTGTTTACACCCATTATGTTGACACACCACTCAAAATGCTGTAATGCCATTCAAAATCAGACCAGTTGACATCTTTCAATTTTGTATGGCTTATTTTGAATTGGACATTAGCTTACATCATTGCTTTTATAGATGTATTGAGTGATCATGCTCTTTGGGACAGTATTTGAGTTATAGCATGATCTTTTATCTTATCGTGGGAAAATGGCTGTAACTTCAGTGAAACCCTAACCATGTCCAAGATTGTACAGTAATTCTACCATTAAAGCAGTCCAAATGGCTGACAGTGAGGATACATGTCTTTTATACGTTATAGGGGCACCTTGCTCTTATTGCGAACATAACCTAGAAATTATGATTTTAACTAAACATTACTGCCTTAGAGACTTGTCCAAGTCTGACAAAACCCATGTGTACAGGTACGATGTTTGCAACCCAAATAACATCTCAAATAATCTAGGATTTGAAGCCATTATCATTAAGCTAACATTGCAACTTACTGTTTACTGGTGCAAAAGGCTTAACACTTAAAATGTGAAAGTTATCTATAGCTCCTTACATCAAACTGTGAAGATTTCAGAGATTTACTGTACATTTGTTGACTTGAACAGAACACTGCCTTGACCTGAGAGATAAGAGCAGATCATATCAGAATAGCTTCCTGTGTAAGCTGGGATGAGTGCAGATCATATCAGAATAGCTACCTGTGTTTGTCAGCTGGGATGAGAGCAGATCATATTAGAATAGTTTCCTGTGTTTGTCAGCCAGGATGAGAGCAATATATAACAAGTTTTATGGATAACAACTTCTTTATTTTCGTGAGTGCGACGTTTCGATACAGATTCTTGTACCGTTGTCAAGCAAGAGTGATACATGAAGTGTAGGAGCTGCATATATATACTGTATATAACAATGAAACAACATAATAGACAAAGGAAACAACATAATTGCCATGATTGGCTAAGCAGTAAGCTGATGAAGCCAGTAAGTACATAAAGGATAGTGAATGGAAGCCAGAGATGTAGTTACAATGAGATGTTTATACAATGGATGCGATGTTTATACAATAGACTGGCTTTGATGTAGTCAGAGATAGCTGATTTGGTGTCGGAATTAGCAACAGAGGTGCGATGTTCTTTGACTCGGGTGTTGATGGGTCGGGATGTTTCACCTATGTAGCATTGTCCACAATCACAGTCTATTTTGTAAATAACACATTTCGGGTTGTTGTTGTTGACGGTGGGTTGTTTTCTTCCGTTGGCATGGAGGAGGTTGTTGAGGCTGGAGGACGCTGAGAAGGTAGTGTCTATTCCTGCCTGTTGTTTCAGGAGTCGGCTGATTTGGTGTGATGGTTTACCAATGTAGGGAATGGATATCTTGATGGGGGCTGATTCTGGTTTAGACCTTTTTGGCAGGAGGTGAAAGCGTTGCTTGATGGTTCTGTTGACTATTTCAGGTGGGTAGTGGTTTGCGTTCCACAAAGACTTTCCTCAGGTGTTCAATTTCTTCCTGTAGGTTTGTTGAGCAGATGTTTTGGCTCTTCTGGTCAATGTAGAGATGACGCCGGGTCTTGACTTTAGGTGGGTGGTTGGAGTTGTAGTGGATGTATTGATCCGTTATGAGTTGGTTTCTGTACCAACGGAGGTCTGGAGTTGGTTGCAGGAGGTGCGGGACACAAGGACATCAAGGAAAGGTAGTTGGTTGTTCTGCTCTGTTTCAATGGTGAATTTGATCACGGGGATGTTGGCTGTTGAGATGGGCGAGGAGCTGCTTTGGATCTTGCTGAGGTTGGAGGACGGCGAAGGTGTCATCCACTTTGCGGTACCAGCAGGGCGGTTTGAAGGGTGCAGTTTCTAGGGCCTTCTCTTCCAGGTCGCCATGTAAATTTCTGTTAGGATGGGGGATAGTGGGGAGCCCATGGGAAGTCCGTGGATTTGCTCATAGATGGCATCGCCCCAGGTGAAGTAGGTGGAGTTGATGCAGGCGGAGGTGAGGCTGATGATAGAGTCGGTAGAGAGACTGGTGTTGAGGGGTTGTTGGAGGTTGTCAATTCTGTGACGTAGTGCTTGAAGGGCTTCATCCCGTGGTACATTGGTGAATAGGTCCACAACATCGTAGCTGATGATTGGACCTGGGTTGGTGATGTCACAGATCTTGGAGCAGAAGTCAGTTGAATCATTGATGAAGGAGTTGGCAGATTTACCTAATGGGGAGAGTACTTGGGTAAGGTGCTGGGCAGTACTGTAGAATACAGTGTCGCGGGAACAGACTAGTAGACGAGTTTTAACGGGTTCTTGTGGATTTTGACTGTTGCTCTGGCATAAAGGTGGCTGGGGTGAGATACTGTGAGTTTACGATATACAGGTCTGTTGAGAGTTCATATTTATCATGCAGCGTTTTTAGCGTGGCCTTATGCTGACGGTTGAGCTTTGTAGTCGGATCCTCTTCATCATTTGGTAGGTTGAGGTGTCATCTAGGAGGTTATCCACCATGGAGTGGAAGTGGTCCTTGTCTAAGACAACAGTGGCTCTGCCCTTGTCGGCTGGGGCGATGACAATATCAGGATGTTGTTTAAGTTGTCTGATGGCTTGTTTCTGAGCTGGTGTGATGTTTGGTTTCTGAGGCTGGGCTTTGTGGAGAATACTGGTGATCTGGTGTCGGAGGAAGTCAACCTTTCCACCGGGTGCAAGTTGTTGGAGACCCTTTTCAATGTTGGCGATAAACATGTCCGAGTTGATTTTGGGTGATGCAGGGGCAAATTTGAGACCTTTGGCAAGGGTACTGACCTGTTGGTTGGTGAGTTGTATCTTGCTAAGGTTGACGACTGTGTTGTTGATAGTTGGTGCTGTGGTTGGTGCTGTGGTTTTCTTGCGTTTGGTTCCTGAGGCAGTGACCTTTCCTTGATGTCCTTGTGTCCCGCACCTCCTGCAACCAACTCCAGACCTCCGTGTACAGAAAACCAACTCATACGGATCAATACATCCACTACAACTCCAACCACCCACCTAAAGTCAAGACCGGCGTCATCTCTACATTGACCAGAAGAGCCAAAAACATCTGCTCAACAAACCTACAGGAAGAAATTGAACACCTGAGGAAAGTCTTTGTGGAACGCAACCACTACCCACCTGAAATAGTCAACAGAACCATCGAAGCAACGCGCTTTCACCTCCTGCCAAAAGGTCTAAACCAGAATCAGCCCCCATCAAGATATCCATTCCCTACATTGGTAAACCATCACACCAAATCAGCCAGACTCCTGAAACAACAGGCAGGAATAGACACTACCTTCTCAGCGTCCTCCAGCCTCAACAACCTCCTCCATGCCAACGGAAGAAAACAACCCACCGTCAACAACAACAACCCGAAATGTGTTATTTACAAAATAGACTGTGATTGTGGACAATGCTACATAGGTGAAACATCCCGACCCATCAACACCCGAAGTCAAAGAACATCGCACCTCTGTTGCTAATACCGACACCAAATCAGCTATCTCTGACCACATCAAAGCCAACCCCAATCATCAAATAGAGTGGTCCGACATCACCATTCTCGCCAACAACCAAGCGGACCACCATGAGAGCAGATCATATCAGAATAGTTTCCTGTGTACATCTTGTCAGCAGGGATGAGAGCAGATCATATTAGAATAGTTTCCTGTGTTTGTCAGCCGGGATGAGAGCAGATCATATTAGAATAGTTTCCTGTGTTTGTCAGCCGGGATGAGAGCAGATCATATCAGAATAGTTTCCTGTGTTTGTCAGCCGGGATGAGAGCAGATCATATCAGAATAGTTTCCTGTGTTTGTCAGCCAGGAATAGTTTCCTGTGTGAGAGCAGATCATATCAGAATAGTTTCATGTGTTTGTAAGCTGGGATGAGAGCAGATCATATCAGAATAGTTTCCTGTGTTTGTCAGCCGGGATTAGAGCAGATCATATCAGAATAGCTACCTGTGTTTGTCAGCCAGGATGAGAGCAGATCATATCAGAATAGCTTCCTGTGTTTGTCAGCCGGGATGAGAGCAGATCATATCAGAATAGCTTCCTGTGTTTGTCAGCTGGGATGAGAGCAGATCATATCAGAATAGTTTCCTGTGTTTGTCAGCCGGGATGAGAGCAGATCATATCAGAATAGCTTCCTGTGTTTGTCAGCCGGGATGAGAGCAGATCATATCAGAATAGCTACCTGTGTTTGTCAGCCGGGATGAGAGCAGATCATATCAGAATAGCTTCCTGTGTTTGTCAGCCGGGATGAGAACAGATCATATCAGAATAGCTACCTGTGTTTGTCAGCCGGGATGATAGCAGATCATATCAGAATAGCTTCCTGTGTTTGTCAGCCGGGATGAGAGCAGATCATATCAGAATAGCTTCCTGTGTTTGTAAGCCGGGATGAGAGCAGATCATATCAGAATAGCTTCCTGTGTTTGTAAGCCGGGATGAGAGTGTTGTCACAAATACTTCAGTATCACGTCCCTGTTTCAAGGTAAGAGTTCGTCCCAGTACCCCACGTGTAAGAAGCTGCCTATGTTGTGCAAGATAGGTAACAAGTCACCTTGTGTCTTCAAACTTGACAACATTGATCAACACAATGTTATCAATAAAGCATAATCCTGCTGACACCAGCATAAAAAACCCTCACAACCTGCTAATGCCTGATGTATATAAAAGCCCATGAAACGCAAGGACAATGTTGATGATCTCAAGGTGAAGGACAAAGAATGATATGTCCAACCTTCTGACTATAAGAAATCCAGGTCTTGGTCCCCTGTACCGACACCCCATGTGTGTGTATCATGTGTCCAGGAACTAGAGGTAGCTCTAATCTCAACCCTCTCTGTGTACCAGGTACTCTTAATGCCTGACAACTGAATTTTTCAGGCCACAGTTCAGGGCAATCCGTACACATTGTCTTTAAACCAGGTCATCCTTCACACACTTAATCAGTGAGTTATATTCTGGAAACTTGTATATTTCCCCTGGTGAATCACCTCAAATGTGCCCCTCCAATGTAAAATCTCCAATATAACCCCTCCAATGAGCTCCCCGAGTGAATCACCTCTAATGTGCCCCCTCCAATGTATAATCTCCAATATACCCCCTCCAATCAGTTCCCCCAGTGAATCACCTCCAATATGCCCCTTCCAATGAATGACCTCCAGTATAGCCCCTCCCAATGAGTCCCCAGTGAATCACCTCCAATAAGACCCTCCAATGAATGACCTCCAATGTGCTCCTTCCAATGAATGACCTCCAGTATAGCCCCTCCCAATGAGTCCCCCAGTGAATCACCTCCAAAAACACTCAATGAATGACCTCCAATGAATGACCTCCAATATACCCCCTCTAATGAGCCCACCAGTGAATGACCTCCAATAAGACCCTCCAATGAATGACCTCCAATGTGCCCCCTCAATAAATGACCTCCAGTATAGCCCCTCAAATGAGTCCTCCAGTGAATGACCTCCAATGTGCCCCTTCCAATGAATGACCTCCAATGTGGCCCCTCCAGTGTGCCTGCTCATAGTATGCAGTAACTCTATTCCATGTAAACAAACAGTTCAATATTCTGAAAGTACAATATTTTAAACAAGGCGAAACAACTGATTAGATTAACAAAACAAAAGATGTAGATGTGGGTTATTTGTGACTTAATTTTCATGTGTTGAATAATCAATATATTCCGCGTAACTACCAAACACTACTTGGAAAAACTCTAAATAAATGTGGTAACGGACTGCATAATTATCCATGTTGTAAAGTAATACATATATGCCAATCAATAAGAAAGATTGAAATGAACTACTTATCAGCATAAGAAATTACAATATATTATTACACTCCAAAGGAAACATGCACATTTTGCAGTTACATTTCATCTTCTAACATTTGTCTTCATAACATTAAACTTGTCAGTTTCTTACGTAAATGATAAATCTAGTTTAACATCTTGTTCAAGAGCATTGCACAGATATAGCAATGCGTGTGAGTGTGTGTACACACGTGCATGCGTGCGTGTGCTTGTGTGTGTGAAAGCCTAATATAAGATATTAATCCTATTCTAGGGGTATTGGTGACATTTCAGAGTAATCATGGATCATATGAAAAATTAAAGTGTGACCGAGTGAGTATGGTTAAGCAATATTCCAGCAATATCACAGCAGGGGGCACCAGAACTGGGCTTCACACATCTTACCCATATGGGGAATCGAACCCAGGTATTCAGCATGACAAGCTAACACTTTAACCACTAGGCTACCCCACAACCCCTGAAAAATTAAAGCTCCCAATGATCACTACAGGGTAAATTCCTTTTTAAACACTTTCTCCAAGTGAATATTCAATATTTAGACTTCAAGTTCAAAACAAACACAAGATAACAATACTGTACTGAGTCAAAAACATCAATAGGTGCATCTAACTTCCTGGGGATGTTTCCAACAATTTTTCTTTGCTGAAAAGGATAGCAGATGGTATTACATGACAGATACTTTCCCACAGAATGCAAAACTATAAGGTGTATTTGGTTATTTGTGTGCATTAGGCCTACATCTTTTTCGTTAGTTTTGTTCATAATAGCTGCAAATGACAGGCTGAAGAAGAGGAATATGTCCGTTTGGCATCCAAGGGGGTAACAAACTTCCTAGGTGAGTTGCTGGCTCCTTGTATGGGATGTATAAACATGTAGGGCTAAATAGGTTGAACAATCCAATAAAAACTTAAGACAGTAGAACAAAATACAACTTTAGCATTAAAACGGGAACATTGTTAGACACCCCTCTTGATATATTGAGACTACCAAACTCAAGTTTGGTTAGGATGTTTAAATCCACGGAACTGCAGGAACACAACTATAAAAGAATGTATTGCAAAAATTAATAACTTCCCGGTGTCTTTACTGGATTAATGCCAGCCAATGAACGACCTGGTGTCAACTTGCTAGGGGTGTAATATTGCCTCTGCTAGGTCTCCCTTTACATCTAGAATCAAAACAAAGTGTCACAAAGTCAATAATGCACACCGTTTTCGTTCTCTTAGCCGACTGTTCTGGATCAAGATATCTGTCTCATTCGTGGACCTTCAAGTGGACATCGTGGCATTTATACAACCAAGAATAACCATAACATTTTAATCCTGCAGGCACAAAAATACATCCGGATGTGGCAAATCTGGGGTTAGGTCATTCTGGCCAGAGGTGGCACTACAGCAGACAAACTACACCTTACCCGACGGTTATACTGCAAAAACACGTCCCAATAATGTCACTTACTCCGTCCACGCTTGCAGACATACTCGAGGGTAGCTGTCAACTGTACAAATCTCGGCATTCATTCTCATGTATGGTTAAACTCATTGAACGACCTTCACCTTGTGCCCATGTGTGTTGACGATCATATCGAGACTGGGAAGCTGGGTCACAGTATGGAAGCCTGTCGGGGTTAAATTCGTGCGACGTTATTCGTTTAGTAGTGATTGTGAGTTCCCTGGTGCAGGTGCAGGTGATGTTTTGGAGATAAAAAACCCAACAATACCAATGGCAAATAGAACAGATAGTGAAGATGTCTAAGCCAAAGCTAAGGCTTTAATATTTAGCTGAGAATATAAAAATACGAACACTGATATAAGAGCTAGAAAGTTCAAATTTGACGTAGAATCATCATTATTTCGGCCATACGGCGACACTAATATTAGAATTCCCATATATCAAAACTAAACATAATTTAAGGTAAAAATTGCGAGTCAAGATAGGCAAGCAAAACATCCCCATGAATTTATACACATTTAAACACGATCGACAAGCGAATACAAACAGCGATATTATATACGGTTGGTTATATAACCCTAGAGTTTGAGAAATTCATAAAATCACAAATTGTTATTATTTTCACGCTATTGTCAACATAATACTTCAACATTTTTCTGCAGTTACACGACACTGGTGCGTGATCGTTGCATGGTCACAAGTTGGGGACGGAAAATTAGAGAAGAGGCGGGAAGTTACATCACAGCATCGAATTATATCACCTCGGGGCTACCGTAGAAAAACATATTCTGCTCATACGATGTCGACTCACCAAGTTAGACCAGTAGTGCAATAGTCAAGATTTACAATGGAGGTTGATGTAATACACTGAATCACAGCGCACACTGACAGGGGTATTGTTGAGGCGTGACACATGAGCAGCAGATGTACAAACATAAGCAAACAATGTCGTTTAATACATAGGAAAATAACATATCATTGTGCATATATATATATTTCGAATTTTATTTCCGTTTAAGTTTTGCTTTCAATTATTTGTAGATTAGCATAGTATTGAATGGAATGTTAAAAAGAAAATTATGGCCTTCTGTGTGGAACATCTCGGCGGAGCAATTCAGGTTAATAATTGCGATAATAATATTCTGATTTCACAATAGACCAAAACTCAGTTTGCGTACAGTTGTGTTCACATTAGACTAACGCTTAGTCCCTGCATATATATAGTTTTGATAGTAACAAATAAACCTATTTAAATTGAAAAGGGGCCCCAGTGAGTTGGGACATTCCTGGGGAAATCTAGACTTGCGTCATTTAGGGCTTTAGCATTGCAGGGATGCCTAGTCAGTTGGGAAAATGATGTGGTTCAGGGACTGTGAGACAGGCTATGTTCACATGTACGTGGCAACTAACTTGTATTCCAAGTGAGCGAGTGAGTTGAGTTTTACGCCGCACTCAGCAATATTCCAGCTATTTGGCGGCCTTGTATGCTAAGTGAAATACTGACAAGGTCTGTATATTGTGATTTAAATCATTATTTCAGATGAATCGTATCAGATGTATTCTGACCATGATGGTGAAATGTGTATTAAATGTGAATATTAGCAGAACATAACTCCAGATTCAAAGACAGGTGAACAGTTAGTATTTTGTCAAGTCACCATGGGCAGCAATGCAGGCTTCAATGCGGCGGGGCATACTACTGATCAAAGAAGTTAGAAAGTCGTGGTCCATGCTGTCCCAATATCGGACCACCTCTTCTTTCATTTCAGCAATATTTGTCAGATTTTTCTTATTGACACTTTCCTTCATAAGTCCCCAAACATTTTCTATTGGATTTAGGTCAGGGCTATAGCTTGGCCAATCTAATAATGTCATATTTTGGGTCCGAAACCAGGCCTGTGAATGCTTTGAACGATGTTTTGGGTCGTTGTCCTGCTGGAAAATCCAAAAATGTCCATAGAACACGTGAGCAGATGGAAGTAAATGTCCCTCGAGAATATCTGTGTACCGCTCACTGTTCATATTACCTTCAAATACACAGAGGGGCGTTGCCCCTAACACAGATATGCCACCCCACACGTTAAATTTCGGACTGTACTTTGGGCGCTGATACAAAGGTTTTTCAGTTTGTTTGGTCCAGAATTTCAGTGTATTAGGAAACAGCCACACAGAACTTTCATCTGAAAAAATCACATTGTCCCAGTTAAAATTTCTATGCTGTAAGCACCAGTTCAACCTTCGCTCCTTTTGTTCGGGTTTCATGATCGGTGATGGAATTCCTCGACTTTTCTGCAAACCCATTGCATGCAGCTCAGTTCTAATAGTCCCCTTACAGACAGTCCCCACAGTTCCTCTATCAATCATATCCAGCCTTAAGTTTTCTAAACTCCTTCGTTTGCTTTTAGAAACAAGAATACCAATCCGCCTCCTGTCACCGACAGTCAATTTTCTGGGCCTACCTGCGCCTCCCTGGTGCTCAATGCCATATCCATTTGCAATATTTTTCAAAACACGATAAACAGTGGGCAAAGGGATGCCTGTTCTACTTGAAATCACTTTAGCTGATCTGATGTCCTTGTTATAATACTCTAAAATCAACTTCCTCTTCTCTAAATCATCCATACTGAGTATCACTGAAAATGTCGTCTGCTAGCAAGTAAACAAAGGGGGATAACTCTTCACAAACTAATGTAAAAGGATTAACGGAGTTGTCTCTCTTGAATGAAACCAAGCACTTGGTAGCTTGTCAAGGTTGTTTATACTAGAAATCCAATTAAACATATTCCTAAAATTCTCAATAATTTCCGGTCATACTATAGAGGAGTATGTTTGTGTGCTGGTGATCAGATGCCTGACTCTGACGGGACACAACCCAACAAAAGTACTAGAATCTGTACTTTACTGAGAAAGTGTAATCCCAAATATAATATGTAATAAAAATTCTGTTGTAGTATTTTGAAAATGTATTTTGTAACGCAAACTGAATATATAAGCAGTATTCTATACAAATCAAGACACAGCAGGTAACTCTCTAGGGAATAAAGTGTCAACAGCACGGGAGTGTGGGAATTCGACGACATGACCTGAGAAACCTGTCACGGGTGTCATATCTAGGTTGAACTGAGGCTTATGCGTGACATACTCATCTTGTTATGTGTATGTTTTGAGTCGTCTGTCACAATCTGGCGTGCTTTAGTCCAGTCACGTGCTGAAATCGGACAGCACCATTCCCTATTCCTTAATTGCTTACCCGAGTGAGTTAGCTTGCGTGCGTGCGTGCTTGCGTGCGTTAAAGTGTGTGTGTGTGTGTGTGGTGGGGTGTGGGGGTGGGTGTAATGTGTGGAGGCAATGAAAGAAATTATAAGAAAGAAACAGATTATTTTATGTAATGAGAAATACTGTACATGTAGTTACGCTTGACAAAGTAGCCATGACCCTTCCTATATGGTATCATTGTAAGCGTTGCTTAATCCACATATAGAGCTCCATATCATGTTACGTTGTTACGACACGTTTTTCTTTGAGATCCAGTACTTGGGCAGCCTTCGATTACCTCGTTTATTTTACAAGCTAACTGCCTTCATGTGTCCAGCTAGTTTTCCCTACTGCCTAGCCCATATGCTAAAGCCCTATATAAGGCAAGTCTATATTCCCTGTCTGAATTTCCCATCTGACGGTGTCTCATTTTCAATTTAGGGGTGGGTTTATTCGTTACAATCAAAATTATACTATTATATAGACTAAGCGTTAGTGTAGAGTTCAACTGTCTTGATATGGTAAAACAAAAAAATCAAATAGCATGTCTGGCACGACAAGAAGTCACCGGTCGAAATTTTAAATAAAGGGAAATCCCCGCACGGTTAACGGCTTTTAATAGTCAAGGGAATAACTGTAAACCGAGCATTAAGCCTTCACTCTGTTATGCTTTGCTACCGTAGATTTAGTTGGCAAGTGACATCTCACGCCCATCTCTAAATGGAAAAATAACACAACAGATAAGTAATTGGTTGCATACACCACCCCGATAACGCAGTGGATTACTAACAGTTGTAAACTGAACATATAAGACTGCCTAGCGCATCATTTACCAGGATATGAGAATAAACAGAGAAAATCACCACAACCGCAGTAAACCCTTGTACATTTAAGGTGTCTGCAAAAAAGACATTTGAAAAACTGGAGGTCATTGAAATGAATCATATGGCGTCACAATAGATCAGCCAGAGACATTTAGCACGTGTCAATACAGCATTCATACCATATATACAATCGTTCCATAGTACCATCCTGTCACCCACTTGACGGATGTCCCAGTTTACGGTAGGTACACAATACATGGCTTTTTGTCAGCGTGACATAGTCGTCCTAAGCTGTGATGAAGTCCTACCGTGCACTTCGAGAACACTGGAGTGATCACAAGGTCAGCACGCCGCGACACATTGGCTGACAGAGTGCTCGCTATAAGAGCCTTATCACAGTTATCGCCTACATGTCCGTGCACTGTCAAGTGCCACGTGTCTACAGGTTTGATTGCTGGAGAGTCTCGTGCTAATCAACACCTGCACATTTGACGTTATGTAGACATTAGTTCTGAAGAGTCTTAATGGCTTCTGAAAGGAATATGCTCATATTTACCTTGACATATTATAAGAAAGTGAGTAGTTTTGATTTTGAGGGCGCTTTGAACAACGTTCCCGTTATATTACAGCATGTCGACTTGATATGGGATCAAAGTCATGCTGGTCTCGGAAGGTTACCTCTTTGCTGAAGCTGGATGTGGTGCGGACAAAACAATGTACATAAGGGGGTCAACTGGGATTCGAACAGACATGGTTCGGGCATGCCCAACGGACGAAAAACTAAACAGCTAATTAGACGAGGCTAAAACTGTGTTCATCCTTGATAGAATGATTTTTCCATCAACACACTCACTATTTCTGTCAATACATACGATTGAACCAACCACAATATATTACTCTCATTTATTTATGCGTGTCATCAATCTTGACGCCACAGCTAGGCGCGTATGTATACAAGCAGGGACATTTAACAACGAAATATACTCAGCAGCAAAAACAAACGTCAGTACGAATTCAAAA